CATCATCATCACCATCATCATCACCATCATTATCATCACCATCATTATCATCACCATCATCATCACCATCATTATCATCACCATCATCATCACCATCATCATCACCATCATTATCATCACCATCATCATCACCATCATCGCAAACATCATCATCATCATCTTCATTATCATCATCATCATCATCACCATCATTATCATCACCATCACCATCATCATCATCACCATCATCATCATCATTATCATCACCATCATCATCATCATCATCATCATCACCATCAGGCTCAATAACAGTAACAGTGGCACTAACCAGGAAGTTGTCGTCCTGGAAGGCGTAGTGCAGAGTTGTGATCCACTGACTGTCTCCTTTCACCAGAACGTCTCGCTCCTCTCTGAAACACGCCGTCTGTACAGAGGACATGTTCACATGTTAAATACAACAGAGAAGTGACATCACACATCAACATCATCAGGCAGACCAGCGCTGTAGACTCACCTCAGCTCTCTTTAGCATCTCCCATTTGTTGAGAATCTTCATGGCGTAGACTCTCTCTGTGTGCTTCATCTTCACCACGGCAACCTGAGAGACAGACAGACAGGTGAGCTCAGAGCAGGTGTACTGATCAGGTGATCACAGTGTAGTGTTGCACGGTATACCGGTACTAAAATAGTACCGCGGTACTAGAGTATTCCAAACGGTACTAGAGTATTCTAAACGGTACTATACTGCATTTGGAAAATACCGGTACTTTGAAACTGATTCAATTCATTAATTTAGTTAATTTATTTTACTCATTTATGCACACAAACGCCTTTCTTGTTCCTATTGGAGCACAGATTGCGCAAGTGGTGTGTGTGACAACACCTGTATCAACATTCACAGCTGGCACACGTGAAAAAAGACAAAAGAAAGTCTGCCTCGCAAAGGGAGACAACACGAGACAACACAAACTTGGTGAAACATTTGAGTTACCAAACCGTGACGTCCGTACCGAGGTACTTACCGAACCATGATTTCTTTGGTACCGTTACACCCCTACAATTTATTGTTCTAAAGGTTTGTATCCAAAAGGATTTTTCCTTAGGAAAAGTACCGAAGAGTATAGAAAAGTATTGAAATTCATATTGGTATAGGTACCGAAACAAGTGACAAGTGACTCACAGTGAGACAGATCAATGACTCAGTGATGTTGAGATGACCAACAGGAAGTCACCTGACTGACTCCAATAACATCTGTTTGATGTTCTTTGGCTATGATTATTTTATTTTGTTTATTTACATATATTTTTCATTATGTTCATGCAGTGAGTGACGCGAGCACACACACACACGCACGCACGTCAGACAACATGTCGTATTTTGTGATCATATGGTGAATAACACAAGTTGTATTTTATTTCCTCTCGTGTTCTGATTAAAATCTGACAGAATAAGTTTTGTATTAAAACTTGTTTTGTCTTCATTAAGTGACGATGGTGTTTTTCAGAGCGAGCTGAGGTTTTTATTCTGAATCTGTTCAAACAGGTTATTAAACATTGTTCCAGGTATGTGCTCTGCACAGCTCTGATTGGCTGATGGCATGCACCTCCTGAGTAACCTGTCAGACTTTATACCTGTGTGAGCCACACCTGATTATCTACCTGTAATAACACACAGCACTGAGCCGCTCTGATTGGTCCTAAAGTTGTGTGTGTGTGTTTATCCCAGTGTTTACAGTGTATCTGTGTATCTGTGAGGACCAGGCTGAGTCTCAGAGTGAGGACGGTCCTCACAAGTACAGTAACACTGAGCCGTGTGTGTGTTTGTATCCTGAGGCAGCAGGCAGGTGTGGCGCTGACACACCTTTCCTCTGGTATGTGGACAATGTACACACTCTCACTCACACACACAAACACACACACGCACGCACACACACACACACACACACACACACACAGAGCTGTTGAGTGTTTTCTGAAACGCTGATGGTGAAGACCAGACGCCTCACAGAACAGCTACATCTCATAAACTCCATTACCCACAAACCCCGGGTGATGATGTCACTGGGTATGTGAGGAGTTAAAGCAGGTTTAATGATTAACTGTTAGTCTGATTGTAACTTTGATGAGTTTGTGTTGTTCTGACATCAGAACTGATCAACTGAAGAACAAATAACTGTTTATTATTGATTATCTGATCATTTTTAAACAGATCATCTTTAAACTGCTTTAAGATAAAAAAAACAAAACATATAAATATAGAATAAAAAAGAATAATAGTGGAAACATTTACAAAACAAACAGTTCTGAGACAAAGCTGCTTTTAGAAATATAAATGAATCTGACTGACGTTTTGAAGTTAACTGTTCACACATAGCCGGACCTAACGACCCCCCCACAGCTGACAGGAAATGATGACATGTTATTATTAATATTACGAATACAAATTAATCTTTAGGTAGCCGACTACAATAATATAATCAGGTCATTTTTCAGTCACTAGATTCATTTTACTGCTGCAATAAAATGAAGTCAGACGAACAGACTGAAACTTTATCTTATCAGATAAAACAGATGTTGACAGTTTTTCTTTGGAGACAAAATCTACAGTTGATAGAAAGGTAATAAATCACAATATTTTTTTTTTCACAATACTCAGCATATGACCACATATTTAACTATCACAGTAATATTGTGTCATGATAATATCGTATCGTAGATCCCCTGGTGATTCTCACTCCTACAGTGCTGATTAGTGTCGCCTCTTCAGCATCCAGCATTCACACCACAATTTCCCCAGAACATTAAAATGTCTCCTCCTCTAAACTGAAAGCGCTGTGATAGTGGTGTTAAAGCTCACTGAGTCAAAGCAGCGTCGGACTGAAGGGAAAGCTCTTCTTTTATTTTACCTCATTTTGTGTATTTCTTCTTAAACATTAACCAGTTAGCTGTTAGCAGATGTCAGGCTATAGAGAGCCAATCAACTGAAAGTTACATTCCTGACTGACTCAATAAAGGTTATTGAAAAAACAAAACAAAAAGACTGAGCTCCTGTGGGAAGCACAGAGGAAGACCACAGGAAGCTGTGCGCTATAAACAGGAAATGCAGAGCCACATTTAACTGGAACAACTTCCTGCTACTACACAGGAAGGAGAGACGGCCTCTCTCAGTACAGAGCTCCACTAGAGTACTACAAGAGGAGTACCAGAGTACTGCTGGTGTACTGC